AGATCGAAAAACTAACTTTGTGATTTTTTAGAAAATTTGAATTTGGAAAATATTTTGAAGATTTTATTTCTCTCAAGACACTATTTCGATGCTTTCTGTAAGCTACCATTACGAAAGAAAAAAATTAAAATAAAGTTTATATGATTAAGTTTCGGAGAAGTGAAAAAACTTGACTTCATAGAACTCTACTGTGTATTCTCCTAAGAGAAGAAAATTAATTGTTATTCAAATATTGGTCTAATACTTCAACTATATTGAAAATATATGCAAAATTAACAAATAAAATTTATTGTTTTTTCATATGAATAAGGATAAAAAGTTTATACACTACTCTTTTGACATATTTATATCCTAAAATTACATTTTTCCTTCCAAATATGAGTAATATTAGAAAAAGATATGGCGACTTCGTTGAACAGAAGGCAACAAGTTAAAAAAACTTCGTTATCTTACTAATCTTCAATCTAATGTATCACTCTCATCCTCAGTCGTTCCATCACAATTTGAGATAACTAGTGCTATTTTGTAAACAAAGTGAACAAGATTCAAATATACCTTTCGAAAATGTTCTACCATATACACAGATAAAGACTGAAGAGGAAGTAAATGAAATACAACTCAATCATATTGAAAAGTTCCTTGAGTTTCTCGTCTAATCATAACGATAAATGGTAAATATCTTCGTGTTTCTTTGATATCATTAAGTGTACATACACTTTTGTTATTATTTTCTGAAAATCAAATGATATATTTTGCAAAAAAAAAAATTTTCCAAAGAAGATAATTTCTCTTTTCCGTAATTTCGAGATCGTGATTAAAATATCAAACACACTTGTGTCAACTTCTTTTTGCACGCTGTTAATTCATCATTTTTGTTCATTGCAATAATTGTCTCGAGAAATTCCTATTCGAGATCGACAATTAATGGAAGTGTTAACCATGAAATCTTCAATTATGTAACATAATTTGATAAGTCTCATATCAAATATTTAAACTAAGTATTTTGTTCCCTGAACTAAAGAATGATTTGTTCTATCTATATTTGTAAAATACTTCTTGAAAAAAAAAAAGGTAAATAGAGAAAGTCTACTAAATTTTGTCATAGAAAAAAGAACAAGTATAATATTGTCTTGAAGGATTTTTTTTTTCTATAAAGGAAACATATTAAAATATAATGTAAATATATTTCAATTGTGACTCTTGTTATAAATATGTTGTGTAATCAAACGTTAATTTGACTGCTCTCGGCATTAGATTTAAGTTCTGTATGTTTAATCTAAAGAAATAACTTAGAGTATGTTGATTCTATATTTAATAAGAAAAGTTAACATATGAGACGATAGTTACGTTCATTTTAGATTAATAAATGACCAAAAAAATTATAGTATTTAAGCAAGAATAATAAAAGAATTAAATAGAAATATTAAGTTCATTTCAATAAAAATTTAGATAATGTTGATCTATTGAAAAGATATATAACTACATACTAAATTATAATTAGTTTAATAATTTTTATTTAGTTAACTTACATAAAAGATACAAAAATTCAAAAGTATAATTATCAAAATCTTGATAAAATATAAATTGTCAATATAACAAATTCAACATGAACATCTTTTGTTCATTTAATTATAGCAAATAAGAAGAGTATAAAACGTATTGTATACATATGGATCTCTTCAGCTTTTACTATTCATCATAATAGTATTTGTTTGACAAGGTTCTTTGTTCTGTTGCATTCGATTTTTTTTTTCTATCATACATTTTACCCATGTAAAAATGATTGTTAAATTGACAATTTAACGAAAATTAACGTTACCTTTTTGTCCGTAAAAACGCGTTAAAAATCGGCGGTTTAACGAACTTTCATGCGTTATTCGACGTTAACATCTGAAAAACGGAGAAAAACGCATGAAACTTCGTTAACACGCCGATTTTTAACGCGTTTTTACGGACAAAAAGGTAACGTTCATTTTCGTTTCGTTCTTGTGCAAGCAAAAATGGTAACCATTTTGTACTATTTGTTGTTCGTATCAGACTATTAAATAGACGTTTAACATATTTATTTTATATTGTTCGATTACATATAAATCAAATCCATCATTGTTATGACCTTCACTAGTAAGTTTACTTTTACACATCTCTTTAGAAAAAAAATATAATTATTTAAATAGATTATTATATATAATGGATTTTACTGCAGTTATTGATAATGCAAAAAGATTTGCTGGAAAAAGAAAACGTGGAGATAATTATGATGATCTTCTTGTAGATCGTCTTCATAATCGATATACTGTTGCTATATTAATTTGTTTTTGTATTGCTATTTTTACATATCAAAGTATAGGTAAGATCAAAATGAAACAAAAATAATACTTATATATATATGATAATAGGTACTCCATTAAAATGTTGGGTTCCAGCTCAATTTACTGAAAGTTATGAAGAATATACAGATCTATTATGTTATATACAAAATACATATCATGTAGGAAAACATCAACTTATTCCTTCAGATGCAAATTTACGACGTGAACGAACATTAAAATATTATCAATGGATTCATTTTGTTCTTTTATTTCAAGCATTATTTTTTAGTTTACCACGTATTATATGGCAATCATTTAATGATAAAATAGGTTTATCAATTGGAAATCTTGTTCATATATCAAATAAATATCAAACATCAGATGTTAATGAAGATCAAATTAAAGGTATGTTATTATTTATGAAACAAATTAATAATTCCATTTTTTTTTAGCTATAAAATATATTTCGGATTGTCTTCAACGATATGAAGAATATGTAAATTTTCCTAAACATAAAAATTTATCAAATTTAAAACGTTTTAATTATCAATGTCGTTTATTTTTTCAAGCTCGTACAGGTTCATTTTTAGCTTGTTTTTATATATTTATTAAAATTCTTTATATATTTAATGTAATTTTTCAAATTATATTTCTTCAATATTTTCTTAGTTATCATGATATAAATTATATTGAATATGGTTTTCATATATTTCGAAGATTATTATTTGATTTTACATTACCAGAAAGTAAATTATTTCCACGTATAACATTATGTGATTTTCAAATACGTGAATTAAGTCAATATCATAAATATACAGTTGAATGTATACTTGTAATAAATATATTTATTGAAAAAATGTATTTTATATTATGGATATGGTTTGGAATATTATTAATAATAACAATATTTGATACAATTTATCTTATATATAGAATATTTTTTCGTCATTCACGTAATATATTTATTATTGAAAATTTAGATATGTTACTTATTGATCATATAGCAAAAGAAAAAGAATTTCATTATTTTCGTCGATATTTTCCTATTGATAATTTATTTACATTATGGATTATATCAGCTAATTCAAATTCATTAATTGTTGGAGAAATTCTTAATGAATTATTTCAAAGAAAATTACGTCATGATTCCGATGTTTAATATTAACATAAAAATAAATTTGTTTTTTTTTTTATTTGATACATTAAAATATACAAGTTAGAAGAATAATGTTTGAAGATATTCTTCGAATTCGTCTTCTCTAAATAGAATTAAAATAAATACAAAAAAAAATGAAATAGAAAAATTTTTAACCTTGTTGTTTCACGTGTTTCTGCTAATGGTTTTGACCATATTTGACCATCATCTTGTATTGTTGTTTGATCATTATCATTATCAAGACGACTCTTTTTTTGTACAGTTGATTCATCAATTTCTGTTACTTCAGATTCTTCTTCTTTTACTTTAGGTATAACTTCTTTTACTCTAAAAACAAAAAGGAAATCGATTTTTAATTAAACAAAAATTTCATTTTCTAAAATTTACTTATGACCAAAATGAAGTTTTTTTGTACATGATGGACATAATCCTTGAAAAAAAAACAAAGAATTATAAATTTAATTAAAATTATTTTCTTTTTTGCTTACTTAATTTAACTAAAGCTTCTCGTTTTTTTCCATGTTCAACATAACCAAATAGAACTTCCCAACTTCGTAAATTTTCTTTTTCATCACATCGTTTTTCACCACATATAAATTGACCTAAATCATAGAAAATAAATTCTAATCAATTATAAAAGATTTATTTTGTAAAATTTAGTTTTTTAGAAAACAAAAAAAAAATTGATAATATGAATTAGATTAAAAAGTTTATCGAAGGATATAATTTCGTTAAGACATTTACCATATCTTAAAGCAAAAATCTAATAAAACATTTATTAACTGCAGATTTATTTTCTGACTAGATCTAATAACTATTCAAATGGAACATTGATTTGTTCTTGTTACAGTCAGAATTGTTCCGAGTAGGGAACTACAAGTCCATGTTTTTGTAAAACTGCAGCTTTTCTTACGAGGAAACCACCCGAGGTGTCAAAAAGCTTTTGAGCTGAAATTTTGCCCACAAGTAGGAGATGCATAGACTAGAAAAAGTCTAAAAGGATATGGGCCCAAGTTGGGATTTGGCTGAGATATCAACTATTTACCATAATTTTCCTATAGAATCCTACTTGTCCGATAAAATCAAAGTTTCGAATTTAGGCCTGAAACTTTGTCCACACCAAGGCCCCAATCAGACAAGCTTGCCTACAAAGTTTCAGAACTCTTGGATAGGCTATCTCCGAGATATGAATCTGCCAAAATATCTATGTGAAACATTATATCCATAAAAAAGTGCCTTTATGCTAACATACTAGTATCTTGGAGACAGTGTACCCCAGAGTTCTGAAACTTTGTAGGCAAGCTAGTCTGATTGGGGCCTTGGTGTGGACAAAGTTTCAGGCCTAAATTCAAAACTTTGATTTTATCGGACAAGTAGGATCCTATAGGAAAATTATGGTAAATAGTCGATATCTCAGTCAAATCCCAACTTGGGACCATATCATTTTAGGCTTTTTCTAGTCTATGCATTCCCTACTTGTGGGCAAAATTTCAGCTCAAAAGCTTTTTGACACGTCGGGTGGTTTCCTCGTCAGACTACCAACATTGGTGGAAAAGAGGACACTGATCACTCAAAATATTGATTAGAAGATTTTTTGTTAATATTAATCGAATTGGAGAAAACCATTGAAACTTTCGAAATTGAAAGGATTACTTTCTTGTGACATTCATTCATTACCTTTTCCACTGACAACTTCTCGATCAATACGCCAACGCATTGCAATTTTTTTTTCTTGCCAATGACTAAGATCACATATACAATATTCTTTAAATAATTTATCATAATATTTTTTAGCTAAACGTTTTTCCCTAAGAAAAAAATGAATCAATGAAATATTAAAAAATAAAAATTTTAATTACCATGTTTCATCTGGTCCATCTTCTTCTTCATCCCATAAAAATCTATGTTCATTTCGAATAATATCTAAATCAGTTCTATCATTTGAACTAAGAATTAATAAGAAAACAAAAAAAAAGGAAAACACATTTTTCGATCAACACATTAGAAAAATAAAAAAGAATTCAAATAACTCACTTACGTATCACGTTTAAAAATAGTATCAAATGATTTTTCTTTTGAATAATAACGAACATAATCATTTACTAATCGTTTATGACGTTCATATGCATTCATTGCCATAAATTGTGAACGAAATCGTTCTCTTAAAAACAAAAATTATAATTTTTAAAAGAAATATATTTTTATAATAAATAAAAAATGAACCTATTAACATTTTGTATTCGATCATCTTTACGTGCAAGACCAGTTGTTTGATGAAAAGTTAGTTTTTCACATAAATCATTACGTTTTCGTCTATAATAAATAAATATGTATGAGTAAATTTTAATAAGAATTATTATTATTTACTTTTTTTCATCTTTTTCATTATTATCAAATTCAGAACTAAGATCTGATACTTCATCGACCTATAATTAAATTAATAAAAGAAAAAAAAAGAAAATAGAACTATTACTATAGAATAGTTAACATACATTAGCTAAATCAGCAATTCGTGCCATGAATATTTTATTTTAAATATCTTGAAAAAAAATAAAAAAGAAAATTTATTTATTGTTGAAATTTATTAAAAAATACAAAAGAATGAATATGATAATAAATGTTTATTGTATAATATTATATCTCTGAAAAGAAAATGAATTAATATGTAAAATAAGAAATAGTCATGATTCATACACTCTTGAAAGAACCTCTCAAAATATTAAATTGCTTTTCAACCAAATCAATGTTAATTTGATGAGTACTAGTGAGTAATAAACAAGTCGAGAACAGAAACTTTTTTCATGTAAAGTTTAAAGTCGATTTTTCACATAACCAAAGCTTTTTATTGAAAAACTCAGTACGATTTCGATATTTCAAGAAGGAAGGTCTTGAGAACCAAACCATTCTAGACTTCTCTATTGGTTCATCAAATAAACATAGCCTCAGTTAAAAACTGCAGAGATTCCGTCATCAGTATTTTATTTAGCGTTGAAGTTAAGAAGACGACGCCACACTCCGAAAATTAGGTTTATGTTTCTTGAAGTTAGTGCTTGTTTGGATTACATATTATGCATCTATCCTGTTCAAAAAGAAAAAAAAAAGTTTACCATATTTAATATTTTATTAACAAATGATTCAGAAGACATTCTGATAAAAAAAAAATATAATTCTTTATTCTATTAATAAATTTATCGAAATGCATCGATTAAATTGTCAAGTTTTGTTTTGAATTTTTATTACGATCGATGTAGATTTTTTTTTATCGACAATAAAACATTTATTTAATATAGACAGCTGTCAAAAATCAATCGATTTCTTTTCCTTTTTCTATTCTATATATACTTTGAAGAATCCTGTTTTCAACTAATAGTACATCCTGTATTTGAAATAGCAGAGAATTTAGAGTAAAGAAGAAAGACTTCTTCGCCTTGCGACTGTAATATCTCCTACAGAAATGTATCCGAAAAATTTAGAGTTAATTAAAACCATTACTCTTCTTATCGAGATCTAAATGCTTTAGTATTTTAAAATTTTTCTGATTAATCATTCTTCAAACGTACATGAAAGAAGGAGGAGAAGATCTTCTAAATTTGTTTTAATACAAATTTTTTTTTTGTGTTCTTTCTCGTTCATTATTCGAATAGTAAAAGAACTAAACGATTGAATTATATTGTTCATTTTCCTAAAGTTTATAGTATTACGATCTTATGTAATGTCAATTGCGTGCTAGTTCGATCATTCTTTCTTTTCTATGTTGTACTTTTAGACATGAAATTAAACATGTTGAATGACGTATTTAATATATATATATATATACATTATATTTAAAAAGCAATTTAAATCACTTAATGCTACTTTATTAAAATAAACTATACGATATTGACTCATTCATATGTTACCACATACAACAACAACAATAATAGATAATACTAATACAACTTTAGTAAATCTTCGAAGACATTCATCAACAATGTCAAATTCTACAATTGGACAATGTTATTTTCTTCTTATTCATTTATTTTTTTATATTATTATACTTATTATTGTTTATATTCGATTTGAACAATTTAATAATAAACAAGATACAATACTTGCTATTATAAATTCAAATTATAATCAAAATTTTCATCATGAATCTCATAATCAATTAATTAATAATAAAAAGTATGTATTAAATATATATATATATATTCTTTATTTTATCATGATTTTTGTTAAGTAATAATGTTGATTGTTCTTGTCAAACATTTATATATCCAAAACAAGATCAAATAACACATTGTTTAGAATTACATGTTGGATTAAATCAAACAATATCAAATATTTTTTGTCCAATATTACATCATAATCATAAAACTAATCAATGGTTATTAATTCAAAATCGACAAACAAATTCTATAAATTTTAATCGATCATGGATTGAATATCGTCAAGGTTTTGGTAATATTATAAATCAAACTGATTTTTGGATTGGAAATGAAAATCTTTATTGGTTAACAAATAATTATCAATGTCGTCTTCGTATTGAATTAACTGATTGGTATAATGAAACTCGTATAGCAATATATGAATCATTTCGTATCTTAAATCATAAAGAAGATTATCGTATACAAATGTCAGAATATATTGGAAATATAGAACCATATAATAAAATTGATAGTAAGTTATTTAATTAATTATACAATATAATCAGTGATTTATCTACTGGAGGGGCGCCGCCCACCCGAAATTTCTATTCGCCCACTCGGGAAACGAAATCTAGGTAAAACACTGAATACAATTTAACAAACAATTGAATAAAATAGTCTCTTTTTAATAAGTAATAATAACTACATTGTATTCTTATATTTTAATTGTACTAACAACTTCCATATCTTAATTATATCGAATAAGACAATCACTCTAACTGATGAAATGTTTTTCCAAACGAGACAATATGTATCATTCTAATGTTTCTGAAAAAAAACTCGATGGTATAATGTAAAAAAAAATATTCTTTTATTGTTTCTTTTAAATAGGTTTTTCTCGTTGGCATTATAATGCTCCATTTTCTACATATGATCATTATGCTACAGATAATATTAATTGTTCAAACTTACATGGTGGTGTTGGTTGGTGGTATCATTCAGGTATTGAATGTGCACATGTACAACTTAATGGTCGTTTACCAACACATACTGATGGTCTTGTACCATTAAATACAGGTATTTTATGGATAGGTTGGAAAGCTGATCGACATTATTCATTTCAATATGTACGTATGTTAATTCAACCGAAATTTAAACGTCATCATGTTCGTCATCGATGATAAATTATTTATTTTTTTTTGTAATCTAGTCTCGAATGTTGTTTTTTTTTGTAGTTAAAACAATATGAACTAATATGTAATTCTCTCTAATCAATATAAAAATAAATCAGATAATTGATATTTATCTAAAATAAATAATTATTCTCGTTCTGTTATTCAACAACATATAACTAAAATTAAAATACAATTAATCATTGTATTTCATCTTGTTTTTTTTTTCTTCTGATATTAGAATGTAAATTTGATTAAAATATTGAACTATATTTAAATAAAAACAAAACAAACAATATTAATCAAGAGAAGTTATTGTTTTGAATAATATAAAATATACAATGAATCAAAAAAATAAAATAATGATTTATTCATTAATATCGTCTATTTTTTTTTTAAATTGCAATAAAAAAATCTTAATATGATTTTATTCAATAGTCTAGATGTATAAATTTTATTTTTTCTTTTGATTCATTGTATTGCACAACATGAAAATAGATAAACAACTAAAGAATAGATAATATGAGTTTTTTTAATCCTTTAAAACAACAAAATACAATAACAATAAGATTTTTATTCTTTTTTCTCTTCAATTTTTTCATTCGTTGATGGATGATCTTCATATGCAAACATTGTTGTCCAATCTTTACAAATTAATGCTGTTATTAATGGAAAACCAACACAAAGTGGTACAATATAAAGTAATGCTGGTTGACCATGCTTAAATATTTGAAGTATAAGAATTGTTATTAATAATGCAATAATATAAGCTATAAATGAAACATTAAAATAACGTTTTGATAGTGAATTACGTGTCATATCATATCGAAGCATTAAAGCAATAAATGCTCCAGGAACAACAATATCACCTAAAATAGAAAAAATTAAATAAATAATTTTATTTTTTTTGTTTTAATTTAAATATACCAAGTCCAAGCATAGCAAATTTATTTGCAGCAAATAATCCATTTTCAATTAAATCTTGAGGAAAAATTAATTTAATTGGTGCATCAAATGATTTTGCTACTGTAATCATAACTGAAAAGAAAGAAATAAAAAAACAGCGAAATTTAACTTTTTTGCAAACAAAAAAGAAAGAAATTTTGTTATTACCATTTGTACCAAAAACCCAAAAGATATCATAAATAAATAAACCACCAAGTAAAATACATCCATTAATAACTCTAGATTAGAAAAAAGCAACAACAACAAGATAATTTAAAATAAATTAAGTCTTTAATATAATTACTTATTAAAATGAAGAATTTCAATTGCATTTATTGAAAAAGCAATACCAAATATATTATTACTTATCCAATGACGTTTAAGTAAATACCAAACACCAATTAGTACACAAAAAAATAATGCTATTATATCAATAAAATTAAATTTAAAATCTATATGCATTATATCATTATTTAAAGCATTATTTTCTGATATTTTAACATGAAATTGTCGTTCACGAAGTTTATTAAATAATGGTAAATGTATTCGAGTAGTAATAGGATGTATAGCACGATAAAGTGCAATTATACCAATAAGAAAAAAATAGATATTTAAAACAAATGTTATATATTCTTTTGAAACAAGTAATATAACAAGATAAATACCAAATAAAAATCCACTTGCAATAAAAGGAAACATAGCCGCTAGACAAAAAAAATTTGTTTTTTTGTGATTTCAAAAAAACAATGAAAATTAAATTTACTTACCATCTTTAGCTGTAAGTACATCGGGTTTTTCTCCAGATTTTTTTTGTTTATCTTTATGTATTATCGATCGAAATGAACCAAAATAAACGCATAATAATGCAGCAAGAACAAGAAATGAATAGGATAATAACATGCCATCAGTACGTACAACAAATGCTTCTTTGTTGGTTATATTTGTTTCATTAAGAATATCGATTGTATCAAGTAATGGTGATAGAGTTTGATTTTCTGTTGATGCAGACATGTTTTCGTTAGGAAATAATGAATAGACTCTTGTTTATTGCAATTACTAAGCCGTTTCGATAGATTGATCCACGACGCACATTTTTCATTCGATATTGAAAATCAACTAATTATTAAAGGAGATAGATGTCTCAATGTTCGCCAAGGACAAAAAAATATTTTTATAGGTTTTCTTTGTCAAAGTTATAGGAGCGGGGGAGGGTACCCCCTGCTTTGAGAATTCTGGTTCAGATTTTTTCCTAATTTAGAGAGATTATTAAACAGTTTTCTCCGCTTTTGGAAAAAAATAAATGACTCATGAAAAACCTGTCAGCACATGTGAGGCACAACATTCGACTGCTATACTTTGCGCATTTTTTGCTGTAAAAAAATTTATACTTTGTGTGTCAATGTTCTAGAGAATGGTAAGTTCCTAGAAATTCATATAAACTATGTCAGGAAGATAGATGTCTTGAAATGATCCAAACGATTTTGAATCTTCAATATGAGTTTTCATTCTTCTTCAGTAAGTTCTGCAAAACACTGATTTTGACGATTTGATCTCCATTTTTTTTTACGCGAGATAATTAAAATTAGTGAGCTGTTGTGAACAAGAGAAATAATGAAATTGAGATCGCTTCGTATTGCTATTATGTATCTTGCGTGAGTTTTATTTTTTACTTGCTAGATATAAGCATTGAAAATTATCATTTTCTATTGCGATGATCTCAAGAACGGAGAATCAAAAAAAATACACACACTTATAACCATTTGAAATCAAAATCGAGTGTATCTCTTTAGCTCTATATCTTAGTTACGCTATAAATAACAAGAGTAGAAAACAAAAACGTCTTGGAGTCTTAGCAAAAGAGTAGATATGTACCTCATACATAGTGTATTGTTTGAAATTTCATCCGCTATCTACATAGGACTACAGCCCTAGCAAACTTAAAAAGAGCTACGAGAAGTGCGCAGAGCCCTCGAAAAATTTTCAGAACATTCTTTTTTCTCGTTCTGCTCGACTTTCGATCCCTCGAATACCGAGTCCTTGAAAAATTTTGTCTCATCGTAAAATCAATTTCGAGTACTCGAAACAATTATCTATCAAAAGAAAAGATTTGAGAGAACAAATCTATCGGAAAGACACTTTTGAGGATCCGAACTGGTTGCAATTCCTTGAAATCTATGGATTTTTGGAATATTCAATAAGAATGATCCATCGTAAGACCGTCTTCAATTAGTAAGAGTGAGTTCTATCACTCGACGTCCGTCGATTTTCTGAATATTCGATGAAAATGAGTCTACCCAAAAATTACTTTACTAGTTGCTTCGATGTCCAATAATCTACAGGTAGGGAAACCTCGCCTACATCATAGGATCGAGAGTAATGGAAAAATTCTCTTGATTACTACGTTCGGTTTCAAGCATACGCAACTTCTCACGATCGAACTTCTTTTAAAATTTTTTACGGTTCTTATCTGAAAAATATGATTTAGAATTGAGCTTACATTGAACATAAAGTCAGCAATTCAATCATTTTAAATCTGTATTTTAAGTTTTCGGTTAATGATATTTGATGAAAAACGCCGTAACAATTAATTTAAACATTCGTTAATGATGCTGACTCAAGTTATTTATTTTCTTTGTTATGTATTTACTAATGCATCTTGTTTTCTGTAGGACCGATATGGGCCATCTATTAAACTAGTATCCTAATGTAATTTTTGTTGTCACTTTCGTAAAAACACAATAATACTGAACTCTCAGTCTCTCATTACTAGGAGTGTCATTTTCGCGTTTATTTATTTTAAATTTAAATTTTCGAAATTTCAATTTAAAATAAATTGAATTATTTTTTAAATCTAATTTGTTCAAAATTATATTTTGGACTTAATAAAATTTTTTATAAATGTAAATTCATAAATCCTACTTTAATATTCCGAATATTTTCGTGGAATATTTTACCTACACTCTATCAATGACATTTGTTTATAAAAATATCCTTCACTTAATCGGCGAATTCTTATGAAAATTAATTGGATTCTAAAGATCTTCTTAAATTGTAAAAAAATAATTTTAAAAATTCTATTTCATTCGTTAAAAGTTTGTACCGTTTTTGACGGTTCAAAATTTAGAAAAGAGAATTTTAGAATAAAATCGAACAACATCAAAGTATTGTCATGCATTAATTTAAAACGTACTTTTTATCGACATATAATAGCTGATATTTGGTTTGACTGTTCGACAAAAGATTCGTAATCATAAGTATCTATGTTTAATCCTTGTATTCAGCATTTCTTAGATGAGTACCTATGGGTTGGAAAAAGTTTCGTAACATGTATGTACTTATGTTCAAATTTTCAGTTCGGCATTTATGCGATGGTTTTCGAAGGTTCCTAAATCAGATGTTCAATCTACGAAATTTTGTTCATTTTGAAAGATTTCTTGCCCTCGAAGTTCCTTGACAAGCGGTCTTTCGTGGGTGTCGAAGTTTCAGATAGAGTAGTCCGAGTATTCCAGTTAATGGAAGACTCGCTAACAAGATTAAAAATTTCGATTGACTTTAACCTTTGTTTTCTTTTGGGTTCTAACTGCTAGTCTTTCAATAATTTTTATAATTCATAATCGAATAATACTCAAGCATTTACTTGTTTTCATTTGAAATTTAGACAATCTTAATATGTGTCACAATAGCAACAAGAAAACTCTCGCACTATGGATGCTAGTATTACTATAACTAGGTTTATAATAAATGTATTACGATTCAAAACACATTTGGAGACATCTGTTTTGCATGTAGATAAAACATGATCATATATATTTGCGTATAGCTAATCAAGAATGAAAAGTATTATTGTTATATTTTTCATTAAAATCAGCATGGATATTACAGACGTGACTTCTTTTTATACTTAATACATTCGATGCGATTCGATTTTATTAAAGAATGATGGATCCCATCAGTGGAATCCATTGCGTCGAATGTGTTAATTTAAAAGTGACAAAAAAAGCCTGTATCACTGTTGCACGAAATACAATATTGTTCCGCAAATAAAAAAATTGGCTGTAATTTTGATTGCATGATTCTCTTAGATTTTTTCTTCTATAAATGAAATTATGACAATCATGAAAGATTATCAAAAAAAAAAATACATCAACAATGAACAAATCAACTAAACGAAAATATAAACTAATGCATTTTTATTATTCTTGTCATCAGTTTCTCTTTTTTTGTTTGTGTCTGTAGAGCCAGTGGGAATGTGAAAGTATTAAATATAAATAAAGAAGTGCTGTAGAAACGCAATACTGCATTTTTCTTCTTTTCTTTTTTTTTTCCTATGTTTGCACTTCATCAAGAGCTTTTTGTTACTGTATTGACGAGTTTCAATCAATAACAATACATTAAAATCAGTTCAACAATGTTCATTATATTACATTGATTTCGTCTCTCCATAATTATTCATTCAAAAGAATTTAATGTTGTGAAAATCTATCGACTAACATCACGTAGAAAGATTATTAAAATCGAACAAATGTTGAACGCTTAGTTTTCTAGAACTTTCATTTTTATTTTGGTTTCATAGGAACATTTAAAAATTTGTCTTAGAGAAATTGAAGAAAAAGATGATGTACAATAGATTGCTAAGATATGAAAGAAAGATATTACCGAAACTTGAAATTGTAATAAAAAAAGTTTAAAATTCTAGTACTGTTGTTCGTTGACAACTACATGGTTTATGATGATGCTAATTCACTGATATCTCTTGATGAATATGACAGAGAGGCTTTATAGTTCCATTGGCATATGCCTTTACTCTGGTACGTCAGTAGAGTAGGATCTCGAAATGTAATTCGTAGACGATTAGTATCTACTAGTTGGTTACACTGAACTAAAAAAGTAGTTGATAATTATTCAGAAATCAAGCAAACCAAATTGATGAACGACATAGTATTCATTTACTCGAATTAAGATTCTAAGACAATAAGATGCCAATATGGGATGTTATCATAGATATAGAGCATTGAAATGCGAAATTTCAGATCACTCCGAAGCAAAGGACTTTAAATACTAAAAGATCTTATGAAATACCATTCGTGTATTGGTACAATGCCCTATACTAACATAAGTGAACACTGCCATAACAAATCATCCTAGCTTACGAATATCGTTCAAAAGATCAAGTATGGCATAAAAACAATGCACAAGACATATAACTATTCAGCATTTACAAGAATCATTATTTGTTGTTATTGAGTAGATATTATTTTGCAATGTAAGATTCTTGACAAGAAAAGTTTGTAATCATGTTTGTGTTTGGTGTCAGAAAATTATTATTTTATACAAAAAAAAGTCAAATAAATGTATATCTTGTCTATTAACAAAAAGCTGTGACAGTTGCTGGAATCTTTTAGAAACAAATAGTAACAACGCTTGGTAAAAGAAGGACGACAACTAGGCAACATTCAATTTGTTTACGTACATAAGATTTATATAGAGAATAGTTTAAATTTCAGTTACACTGATTAAAATATTGGACTGTATATAATGAAATGTTTGAGATTTGGGTCAGTACTCAAATGTGGATTTCAGTTGAAGAATAAGAATGTAAACAACAAACGAAAGAAAAAATCCAACAGTGTCTTTTTTCTTTAATTATTTTTTCCAATTTTCGTTTGCTTTTCATCTGTACAATGATTGAAAGTGTCATTACGCTGAATATGTTTGTCTCATGAACTGTTTGTTTTTCTTTGATACAATACCAACGAGTTTTTTACTCTTTCTAATAAGAATGAAAAAAGAACACAACAAATAAATCGTCAATTTCGTTGTTTTTCTTCTGCTATTGTTCGGCATCGTGATAATGTGAATAAAGTAATCATCGCAAGACATTTTTACTTGCAAAATATATCACTACTAGTTAACATAGATTAAAGTAAAAACTAACTATTCATATCGTGCTTTACCTGCAGAAGTATGTGTTTCGCATCATAATTGTTTTTCCTATCTTGCTTTTAAATATTAGTAAGATTCGTACTGTGGATATATGTTCATTCTTGCCGTAGTTTAAAAATAGTTTATTGTTGAATTATAAGGTGTGAATCGAAAGTTTTGCAACAAAATTTTATGACATTAATCAAAAATCAAAATTCGATGAATGAGTCTTTAAAAAGAGTGGGAATAAAAATACGACTAGTTTTCAACAAATAAAAAGATATGAAGAATAGAAAAACAAATTTACTCTGAATTTTCTCAAAAAGCGAATAAAGATTTTTTTTTTTTAACAAAATTATACCTTGATAAATAATATTCTGAAAAGCATTTGAAGATTTTGATAAGAGAGGCAAGAACATTTTTATAGTTCCTTAGTTGCGAGACTTAAAAAGATCTACTTTTAGCAAAATTTGACATTTCATCTATCTCGAAACGTCGAAATTGTAACTTGATTGATTCACACTTTTTTTATTCATTCTATGATGGCTTGAGAATCGTTTAAGTCTGGTTGTTAATGCCATTCAGTGTGTTTTCCGTTGCTAAAATTATGATGATGAAGAGAGACGCAAAATCTCAACTTAAAACTTATATTCATGATTTTCTTTCAAAAAATATGTGAGTCTCAAAAACCAGATAAAGAAGACATAGTATCCATCTAAACTGCTACTGATCATGAAAGGATCCAACAGTGTAGGAATTGCCGTCCCGTCTCGAATATAGGCTATAAAGAAATCTTTTGAATTCACAAAAGTGATCGTGACATTTTGAAGTATTCAACTTCAGATCCTAGCTTTAAATGAAATTTGACACACTATTACAAATAAATTGGTTTGAAAATATTGTTTGAATAGATAAATTTTTTTTCCTTTTTAAGTAATATTTACGAAAAAAATGTTAGAAACTAGACTTTAGATTAAAAAGTTTATTTTGTCATTAATAGATTTTCTATATATAATCTTCAATGATTGATTTATATCGAAAGAAAATTCGTACTGTCGTAGAAGGAATATCAGCATTAATAATACTAAAAATGATTGTAGATAAGGAAAAATATTATTTTTTCAATATTCAAGACATGAACTCTGACGTTTGTAATATATTAATATAAAACAATTTTTCTATAATTATCGTAGAGTTCCTTACATTTTTTTTTTGTTTTTTGAAAGTCGATCGAAGGTAATCCTATGATTCATTTTAATGAATATCTTAGCCAATCGTTAAATATGACAGATGGCATACCTACTATGGATCATATTATTATTATTATCAAATGTTGTATGTCAATAATTACAACAACAACAAAAAAAAAAAAACTTATTTATTCGATATACACAGTCTATATAACATTAATTTCTATTATCGATGACAAAAATTATCGATGAAAAAATTCAATCAATTATTCAACAATGTGAATCTTTATCTATTGATGATATTGAAAAACTTTCAAATTATAAAAAATTAAAAATTACTTCTGAAATAAAATCCAAACGATGGTGTGATATTTATCTTATACTTGCTATTATATTTGGTCTACTTAGTTTATTTACAACAAGTATAAATCATATTGGTATTGAACATTTTCTTGAATATTCATATAGAAAAATTTTTTCAATTGATATTTATCGTGAAGAATGTCTTGCACCAAAACTTGAATCTATTATTGATATATTTCGTCCACCAACATCTTGTAATATTTGTCGTAATATTAATCATATTGAACGTATATCAAATATAACACGAGAAGAATTTGAAGAAAAATATGCATATACAAATCATCCTGTTATTATAACTGATGCAATGAATAATTGGTTAGCAAAAGAAAAATTTAATTTTAAATTTTTTAAACGTCTCTATCGAATGAATTCAAGTGCACTTCGAGCTGTTGAAGAAAATTGTCAATTTTTTCCATATAAAAATAAAGATGAATTTGAAACATTAGGAGATGTTTTTGATATGGATTTAGAACGAGCTGATATGATTGATGAAAATTATCGACCATGGTATGTTGGTTGGAGTAATTGTGATTATTCAACAGCTTATCTTCTTCGACAATATTATTCAAGACCTTATTTTTTACCTGAACAATCAGAATCTAGTAAACTTGATTGGATTTTTATGGTATGAAAAATTTTATTTTTAAAATTTTCATATGATTCTTTTTTTTTGTGTAGGGAACACCAGGTTTCGGTGCACATATGCATATTGATAATGTTGATTTACCATCATGGCAAGCACAAGTACGTGGGCGAAAACAATGGACTCTTCGACCAGTACCTGAATGTTTATTTCAATGTAAAGAATTTAATTTTATTGTTGAACCAGGAGAAATTATTGTACTTAATACTAATGTTTGGTATCATAAAACATTTGTAATTAGTGAAGATGAAATAAGTATTACTATTGGATCTGAATTTGATTAATTATATGGTGTTATTTTGCTTTGTATTTTTTTTTTGTATCTAGTCAATTCATATTATCCCTTTTCTTTTTTTTTTTTTAAATATCTATCGAAGATAATAAGATTTTTTAATAAAACAATAAATTTTTGCATGTGATTCATTGATATATATAAAACGAAAGTAATGATTCTTGCTTCTTTTTTTTTTTGTTTTTCCTTTTCTTCTTAATATTCAATGTAAAAATATTCTTTGTAATTAATTAATTTTTTATTATATTTTGAAAAAAGAAATTTGTTTTCTATTAGAACAAAAAAAAAAAAAAGAATTTTTTAATTAATTGTTTGGTTCATAATATAAGTTATATGGTGGAGGTTCTTCATAATTATCACCAAACTCTGTTGTAGTACTTGGTATCGGAATAGGTCTATTCCAAATTGGCTGAAAATTTTCATCAGATAATTGTTTAAGAAGTTCACCTTCTAATTCGATTATTTTCATTTCAATAAATGTTTTCCATATTAATGTTACAACGCTTAATAGAAAACAAATGCTGGCTAATGTTGTTGCTGAAATAAAATAAATATAGATAATCTTGATTTTTTTCTTTTTTTATATATAAAAGTATTAACTACTTACCTAAAATTAAATAATGTATTCCTCGACTGGAATGAAATGAAATGTAGAATGTATCAATAAAAAATCTTCCTGGTGAATGCATTTTTGTTAATGAATTAATTATCAATATTGCTGCAAGAATAACTGTAATAAATAAAAAAAATAGTAGGGCAATCCAAATAAAAGCATTGATATATATCATATAACGATTATTTGTATTATAAAGTATAAGTATTAATAAAGCCCAACATGGAAAAATTGCTAAATAAGCAAGATATAATGTACATGTTAATAATATAAGAATAACATTAAAATATTGAGGTCGAGTTTCTTGTGTCCATGTATCACATTTAATTATTTGATCTTTATATTTATGAATACAAATAAACCATAAACCAAATGAACCATATTCAAGTAGATCAGTAAATTGCGTCGTTTTATTTGGGTGTACTATTGTATGACGAACATCAATTAAATCATATGAATACCATTTATCCGAAGTAAAACTTAATAAAAGTATGAAAGATAAAAGTGTTATAGAAAAACAAATAATTATTATTGGCCATTTTAAAATAGCATAATCATTGACTGTACTGATCATAGCTGCCAATTTGCGCAGTCCCATTTTGTTCTTCTTTTTTTTTTTTTTTATTGTTTAAACATGGCAAATATTATTATTTATCACATGATACTAAAAATGATAAAAAGAAAAACAGAATATAAATGAATAATGATGTACAATCATTCATTCCACGGTTAGGTGATCATTTAGAGACGAGAATCAGACTTCATATATGTCGAAAAACAAAAAAAAAGATGCACAATACTAAGCAAAAAATGACGAGAATGAAGTTATACAGATAGAGATATTCACATATCTCTTTCTCTCGTTTATATAATATTTTAACAGAGAAGAAAAAATTGTAGGAAAAACAAAACAAAAAAAAAGAGCGAAAAGAAAATGAACTAAGCGAAACATACAAAACTTACATACATATGGTGCTAATTGAAATATTTCTTTTTTTTCTTATTTGCGATAATTTTATGCATCAATGATTTACGGCCAACAAAGAACAGAAGACGAAAGACAACTTTTTTTTTCATCGTATACATATAACGGTATTCAATAGATGTCGCTCAAAGTCGAATAATGATATTCCATCATTTACCATGTATGGATGTAATTGCACCATATCAATTGATTTCAATATAGATAGTCTATTGATGTAGACAATCATCGACTGGAAAGCGTGGCGTCTTTCTGTAACCGGAGCTACTTCTGGGGTCGGGTTGTGTGAATGACTTGCGGGCGGGAGTCCTGTTTGTCGTTGCTCTATGTTGATCGAGCGTCCGCACGAAGCTTGGCATCGACATGGTGGGAGTTGAGGAATCTCTCCTTCCAGGGCGTCTAAGGAAGGTTGAACCGGCTGAGGCGCGAATATGCGAGCAAGTCAAAGACCTCATGTTGAGCAGTCGTGGGATAGCGCTTGTGAATAGACAGCGGCAGGCAGCCCGTCCAATATAGTTGGACCACAATCTGTTTTTATTATAATTTTCTTTTTTAATTTCTAAGCTATCATAAAACAAATTGTATTATATACATTCATTTCTACAATTGTTTACATAACATTTTTCCGCATGAAATACTAAGAAGCTATAGATGGATGAGCGGCTATGTAAAATTTTATCAAAATTTCAACCTGACTGTTACAGTTTCGATTATAAAATTGTTTAAAGAAAAAACAATCAAAAGACGAAAACATTTATCATTTAGACTAGCAGATTTTCATGTTTAGGACTGTATGATATCATTTGAAATTAATAAATCGAAAGTTTATTTTAACTTGTATCTATCAAATATATATCTAAAATAACTTGAGTTAAATCTATGAAATGAATAGCTAAAGTCTACATTTCAGAAATTTAAATAAGATCAATAGAATTATTAATTTCTCTCTATAACTTCTTTCTTTTTCTTCTGTCAAAAAATATCTAAAATTATTTTTTGACTTTATGACATATGAATTGCTGATCATATGCATATTCAATCTGAGAAAACATTCTACAAAAGCTTATCAATACAACTCTGTTAAATGTCAGCTGATATAAACTTTGATAAATTCGATGTCACTAATAACTGCACTTTAGATCGTTTGCAAATTTGAGTTTTTAGTGTATTACAAAATATTCCAAAACTATTTTTATAGCAAAACAAATCGAGATTAGAAATTGGGACGACTGCAACTGTAGAGATGTTTATAACACAAACTCTTGTAATTCTTTTTCTTCTAAAATTTTATAAAAACTTGAATTTATACTTGCATGAAACAATAACACTGAAAATTGCGATGATTATAATCTTCTTTTTTTTATATTTGAAACAGTACGATTGTGAACAATGCACATAAACTGAAATGAATGCGGTGTGATGAATATTAAATAATCATAAAAATAATAAAAAAGGCATTATTTCTTGATAATTATTTGATTTCAAAATATAGATGTTTATTAGGTTAATTGGAATGAAAATCAGATGATATAATTTCTCGTAGTATTAACAATTATCAATAATTTTATGACAAACAAAAATATCACAAAGAAAATGCAAGTAGGGGTCTTGTGGGAAATAAAGTGAAATAGTTTTTTATTTTGCTCAAATTTCTACACCAGCTCTTCTTCGTGCAGCAGTTCCTTAGGATTATGAATCTGACATTTGTAACTATTATAAAGAAACAAGTCTATAACAATCGGAATTTTTGCTAATTTAAAATAAAATTTTCATTATTTGTTTCAGGCTATTCTGGTTTTAGTGATAACTGTGCATGCTATAAATATGGATGGAAGTTAGAATAAGAATACAATCAAAAATCATACTGAACTGTCGATGAAAACAGTCAACGATGTTTTATTGGTCATAAATCTGACAGTCATACAAATCGTTCATCTGGTTGGAACACTTATTGATTCATGAATAAATATTGATTTCATCGTCATCAAACTGATTGGGTCAGTGACCGAAATCTATGTTCAAAATCTCCATTAGTTAATTGTTTATTTAATATGCGATAAGATTCAATACCATCAATCCATTATATTCTACGTGTATTTTGATGTGAAAATCGTTTAAAATTAACGTTTTTTTTTGGAAGCCGTTGGTGTCAATAATCAAATAAATAAAAATGATTCATTTAAAACCATTAGAACATTTATTGATATAAGATTTCAATTAGATATATTATCAATAATACCTAATAGAACAACAACAAGTTATAAAGAAGGATTTATTGAAAAAGTTAAAAATAAATCTTTAAGAGTGAGTTTCTGAGAGACTCAGACATCGACGATGGAGTGATATCTCAGAATTGGCTGCTTTTTTATGTGTTGTGGGGCATGATGAGTTATATATTTTCTGAAAGTTTCAGCTCAATCGGATGTATTTCTGAAGAGAAACCCTCAAAATACAGATAAATCTTTTATCCTATTTTTTTATTTATTTTTTGAGAAAATTTATAATTTTTTCCAATAAGTCGACTTTTTTAATTTCAAGTTCTAGTTTTTTTCAGGCATGCTTAGTCATTAGTTGTGCTATCGAGAACAAAAAATCAGAAGTTTTTCTGGAACACATGAATAGTATGGACTTACCCAAGAGAAGACCTATCTATATGTTTTTGTCCATTTTTGCGACAAAAGTCACCAAAATGTCGACCGATCGCGTTCAATGTCACAATAACAGGGCGCTCTGGAATTTTTACCATAGATAGAACTCATCAAGCTCTATCATCTGACATAATCAGCTTCCCATTTCGGAATCAAAAATAGGCCTTTTAATGTTCAATTCTCTTTTTTAGCTATTGAAAGTATAGCTATCTAAGAACAGCATACATCGACTTGAAAAAAAGTCTATTATTGACTAATTTGTTGACTGTTTTATACAGCATCATATACCGAGTATCGCCTGAAATTTCCAGGTCGATGCCTCAAATATAAAGGCCAAAATCTTCACAATACTAAGAGTGCGTAGCCTTAACTTTCGCTGTCATGTGATATGATGACTGGCATAGCGTCGATGGCTGGCAGAATACTCCGAATGTATACCGATGGTAAGGACAGATGACGTCGCTGTCATTAAACATCGGGAACGCCTATTCGATGCCTAAATCTGGGTTATGCTGCTAGACATTTGCATCAAGAGCCGATAATGAGACTAATTGTTGAGAAATATCGTCTCTTTTGCCTCCAAACATACTGCATTTTCCTCTACTATGAAAAATACATTCGAAGAAGTTTGTGGACGACGCCATGCAAAATATTTTTGGAAACGAAAATCAATGACTATTATTATTTCTTACAGCAGTACGCTTAAGCTTGATGCCTATCACAAAATTCGACAATTAACATCCTGAGTATTCGTATTTCTGAAGCAGCAAACTGAATTGTTACAAGCCAATCAAGGCTCTCGATTGTTTTTGAGAGTGGGAGGGGGGGCTAAAAATTTTTTTTATGTTGCCAGACACTTCAAAAAAACTTGGCAGACAGTCACTTATTTTTTCGTGAACTTCCCGATTTTTCATGAAAAGTGATGGCCAGGAGCGAGGAGGGGGATGAGTAGCGCGACGAAGATATTCCTACCCCCCCCCCCCC